CGTACTTTCATAGCTTCTCATCATCATGAAGTACTTTTTCATAGTTTTTCGCACTTTTCGTCAAGAAATACCACTTTCATAGCTTCTCCTCACTTCTCGTCAAGTTTTAATACTTTTATAGCATCTCCCCACTTCTTGTCATTAAGTTCCACTTTCAAAGCTTCTTCTCACCTCTTGTCATGAACAACTACTTTTATAGCTTCTCCTCACTCCTTGTCATTAAGTTCCAGTTTCATGGCTTCTCATTACCTCTTGTTATGAAATATCATTTTCATAGCTTATCCTCACCTCTTGTTAAGAAGTGCCACTTCCATAGCTTCACACCACCTGTTGTCACGAAGTATCAGTTTCATAGCTTCTCCCCACTGTTTGTCACCAATTTTATAGATTCTCCTTGCCTCTTATCATGAAGAACCATTTTCATAGCTTCTCCCTGTAAGTCATAGTTAGACTAGTGCTGCTCTCTAGAAGAACAATTAAATATCTACTTCATGGTCAGGCTACTGCAGCTTTCAAGAACAATTAAAATGTACGTCATAGGTAGACTACATATGCTCTCTAGAAGAACAACTAAATATCTACTTCATGGTTAGGCTACTGCAGCTTTCAAGAACAATTAAAATGTACGTCATAGGTAGACTACATCTGCTCTCTAAAAGAACAACTAAATATCTACTTCATGGTTAGGCTACTGCAGCTTTCAAGAACAATTAAAATGTACGTCATAGATAGCTACATCTGCTCTCTAGAAGAACGACTAAATATCTACTTCATAGTTAGGCTACTGCAGCTTTCAAAAACAATTAAAATGTACGTCATAGATAGGCTACATCTGCTCTCTAGGAGAACGACTAAATATCTACTTCATAGTTAGGCTACTGCAGCTTTCAAGAACAATTAAAATGCACGTCATAGTTAGACAAGTACAGCCCAGAAGAGCTACTGAACATGTACGTCATAGTTATACTACTGCGGTTCTCAAGAAGAACAACCAAAGCGGCACATGTTTTCTTCTTGACAGTAAATTTTGAAGTTAAGAATCTTTTAACAGTGGCAGCTTCTCATGGGACCTATTTGTTCTTTCCCGTTCAGAAGAAGAAGAAAATAAGTTATAATAATATGAAAAGTTATTATTCTTATATTTTTAGTTAAAAGTGTCTAAAGTTGCATGAAGTGTCTTGCATGAAATTCTACTCTAATAGCTTTTCCCATCTCTTGCCATCAAGTACTACTTTCATAGTTTCTCATTACCTCTTGCATGAAATTCCACTTTAATGGATGGCAAGAGGTGAGGAGAAGGAAGTACTACTTTCATAGCTTCTCCTCATCTGCCGTCATGAAGTTCCACTTTCATAGCTTCTCCTTACCCCTCGTTATGAAGTACCGCTTCCATAGCTTCTCCTCACTTCTTGTTATGTAGAACCACTTATATAGCTTATCCTCACCTCTCCATACCTCTCGTTAAGAAATATCGCTTTCATAACTTCTGCTCACCTCTCCTCATGAAGTGCCACTTTTATAGCTTCACCTCACCTCTTGTCGTAAAGAGCCACTTTCATAGCTTCTACTCATCTCACCTTTTGTTACGAAATACCACTTTCATTGCTTCTCCCCACCTGGTGTCACGAAATATCGGTTTTATAGCTTCTCACCACTTTTTGTCACGAAGTACCAATTTCATAGCTTCTCCCTTCCTCTTGTCATGAACAGCCGCTTTCATAGCTTATCCTCACCTCTCGTCATTAAGTATTACTTTCACAGCTTTTCCTCACTTCTCGTTATGAAATACCACTTTCATAGCTTCTCACTAACCTCTTGTCATGAAGAAGCATTTTCGTAGCTTCTCCTTACATCTCATCGTGATGTACCACTTTCATAGTTTCTCCTCACCCCCTGTCTTAATAGCCATCATCTCAGAAATATGGTAATTATTTGTATTTTATTTCGTTATATTTTCTTTGAATAATGACTTTTCATTTATTTAAAAATTCTTGAACTGCTATCTGAACGCGATAATTTTTTTTGTACTACAGAAATAATCAGATAGTTGGTTTTAACCATTTTGTGAGTCAATGATTAACTTAATAGCACTTGGTGTACTTGTAAGATTAAAACAATGAATACAGTCATACCAGTTGTAACTTGTTTAGAATGCAGGACCGTAAGAAGCACAGTGGACTTTGTAATATCTGTAAATGTGGAAATCAAGTCGGTATTCTACTTTTAGCTGGTTCAAATATTCAAAACCATTAAAACATAGAAGACATTGTAATGTCGGTCTATATGCAATAACCCATCATATCGGAGAACATGATCGTACAAAACAATGAAATGAAATTCTTGGGATATGTACAACACACGAGAAAAATAAGTAAAAGAAGCCCTCTATATCAATCCAACTCATAACACACTCAGTCAACTTAGCATAGAAGCTAGAAAACTTGAATGTCGTCCCTGAAACCAATCAAATAAGTTAATTGATTAAAGACTTAATATGGAGAGAGAGTTAGGAAGAGCAGATAGCAATCAGCCTTTCTAACAAGAAAGGCCTAGGATCGAAATCAAGCGTCTTGCTAACACATACTGCAAGGCAGCCAAAATTTGTAACTAATTAGATATAAGTAAATATACAGGTTGCTAACTATGATAACGTTAAGTGTAAAGTTCGATTTTTGAAAACAAGCGCTGTATATAACATCAGAAAACAAAGACAATCTCACATTTACCCATAGGGGAAACAATAGAAAGGATTCTTACAAAGTGAAGGATGTACAGAAAAGCATAACGGAAAGAAACTTGACGTCGATTTTATAAGTTATATTGTGCTTGAAACGCTACAGTTTGTATACATTTAAGAAACAGTGTATCGATTCTAGAAGCTTTTGTGCTTGAAACTCTAGCTTGTATAACGTTGGTTAAATATTTACCAAGTTTTCTATTCTGAATTAATATTAGCATTGTAGAGACAATTTCTTGGAATCTTAGTTTCGTTCTAAAACTATGCATTTTTTAAGGATGGTCAACAAGAAATAAATAACAAATATAAACACGACCAGATGTTTTCTCAACAACACATTATGGAACACAGCTCAGAACAAGAAGCTTCTAGTATATTCATAATATCTTCACCAAATATGGTATGGAGGTTCATTAGATCAGTGCAGGGGTACCTACAAATTTTCAGTTTTGCATTCTGTGATTTTTATGAGAGTTTTTATGAAGTATCCGTCCCTTGGACAGAAGTTATATAAATTCATGATTAATGAAAGGTTATCTTAGGATATGAAAAGTTGCTTCGCTTATATGTAATTGTAAAAAACACAATGACGCCCATAAAAACTGTAAATCATAAAATGTGAATCCGCATTAACTCAACAAACCTTCATGTTAAATCTGGTGAAGGCCCATCGACAATGGGGGAAGTAGTGGTAAAAAACGCAAAAAAAACATAAAAAGCGCAAAACGCAAAATGCAAAACTGAAAATTTGTATGTACCTCCTTCATGGACGAAAGAACCACAATACCAATTTTGGTGAAGATCCATCCAAACTCTGCGAAGTAGTTACATGGACATACAACAGATAATACTATTATATTTATATAAATATATTTCTATACATATATAGAAATGACAAAGTGCATCAACAATGTAAATTTATGAAGCAGATGTTGAAAAATCACCAGACAGCGCTAATACGACAAGAGATATTAAATGGAGTACTCAGTTCAAATATCACTTCTCATTAATGATATTTTTGTTTTACTCCTAATAATGAAGTGAAATATGAAAACAATGAAACGAATAAGGGAGGTGAAGTGTGAAAACAATGAAACGAATAAGGGAGTCCTTGTTTCTAGTGTAAGAATAAAGCATGAATTATTATCGGTTAAAAGACGGCACCATACGTTCTGCACTGTACTAACGGAGGCCTTAAAGTATAATAGATAAATATAATAACTTAAAACCAATTTCAATAGTTTTATGGAGTCACACATTTTTAATAACTGTGATTTAAACTGAAATTTCATATCGGAATTTTTCAAATACTTCCAGGAGTCGTTTTTTACATTTATGATTATAATTATAAAACTTGTTTGAAGTTTTGGAAAGTAGCTTTATATTCAATTGAGAATCGTCAAGGATTACACAATTTTAAAATGCGACAAATTATAATTACAAAATAAGTAGTTAAACATTTCAGATTTCCATTTGCAGAGTGTGTTATAATTTCATGGTATTACGTCACACTACGGTTCATTGTTTTCACACTTTATACAAAATACATTCACGCAGCATTTCGGTGCACTGTTTTTATACCTCAATCGGTTCAATCAAATACATTTAAGTAGCAGTCTGGTTGATTGTTTTCACACTTTATACAAAATACATTCACGTAACATTTCGGTGCACTGTTTTTATACCTCAAACGGTTCAATCAAATATATTTATGTAGCAGTCTGGTTAACTGTTTTCACAGTTTATAAAGTGTTATACAAATTAATTTAAGTAACAGTTCGGTCCATTAAATTCAGATCTTACACGATCCTATCGAACACATCTATATAATAGTGTGGTTCATGTTTTCACATCTTATACAGTGCTAACAAATATATATATATATTACAATGTATCTCAGTAAAAAAATTTAAAATAAATATAAAGCCAAAGTATCATTCAGTTCACCATTTGTCATTGAGTTATACTGATTTCGCTGAAATCCACCCTTCACCAGTAACCCTAGACACGAGTAAATCGAAAAAACAAGTCTAAGCTTCTTATAGTAATGAAGTTTTTATATGTATGGCGGTTTGAATTGAATTGTAAAATTCAAAACACCATACCTATTTCACACTTCACACAGTTTAATCAAGACACTGTTTTTATATTATACTTGAACAACATTGAACACATTTTAGTGCACTTGCCGAATATTCATCACAAATCAACTACATGTATGTCAAAAAAAAATCTACTCATGTTAAACATGAAGTGGATATACCAATAACTTTCAGTGTGATGACAGTGTTTACAGTCCGTGCTTTATGGAAGTCCACCCGACACCGATACTCTCCTGCGTCATCTTCCTTCACGGGGTCCAGCTGAAGAAATGCTGGCCTGTTGATCATGTTAAAGTAAGCACGACTCTCCAACTCAGGGCTGGAAGCCTGGTGGGCATGATCCACGTTACCCCGCCTAGCGTCCAGGGTATAGATGGGTTGAGCCGAGTCATCTTTGTACCAGAGAATGAGAGCTGCGGAGTCGTCGGCGGAGGGGGATGAGATGTCACATGGAAGAGCCACTTTGCCTCGTACAACTGCAGTGTACAGAATGGAAGCTGAAATGTGAAAATAAAATTAATACTAGACGGTACTGATACCATAGTTAATGATAAGAAACAAACAGAATTTAAGCAACGAAGAAAGGACTGTTGTAGATTTTTACCGCAAAGCTACACAATTGGCTATATGTGCTTTGTCTACTGCGGAGAATTGAACCCTGGATTTTAGCGGTGTGTGGACGTAAACTTACCGCTGACCCATAGGGGGACATATACAAAAAAGGAATACCATTTTAATAGTGAACGAAGATTGCTTTAATATTGCTAGCATATATTATTTTCACCTGTTAACGAAAATTGCAAAATATAATGTTTTAGTGTTCATTCCTTTCATAAATCTGGGCTTAGACGTGGTCTAGTGGTTAGCATGCTGCACTGTAGATCTAAAAATCCATGGTTCAGTTTCTGATGCCGCAAAAAAAAATGCGCTCCAATTCCACTGTTTGATTCACATATCCCAAGAGTTGTCGATGGGTGCTGTTGATTAGCTGCCTTTCCTCTAGTCTATCATCTCAGAATTAGAGATAGCTAGCGTTGATAGTCTTTTTGTAGCTTTGCGCAAATATACGATACAAAGTCCTATCACTTTGCTTTATTAATGACTTCTGTCATATCTTAATGAAAATGGTGAAACAATGAGTATATTTATTCCATTTTGGTAATAAATATAGATATTATTCTAAAATAACCAATAAAAGACTAATAACTTTGTTTATCAGTCGACGAATGAATACTCGGAGAAGTATTTGGTAATTTGGTTTTACTTTTAATTTCCTTGAAACGAAAACTCGAAATATCGAAATACGACACTCACCCCCATACATACGTATTTATAGCATTAGGTGAAACAATCGGATCTTTGATGGAAATGATAATCTGTTCAGCACAAAGCTAAAAAGGTTAATGACCTTTCATGCTACACAGCTTTTAACAAGATATTATGTTCACTGATGGTTCAGCGGTAAACTTGAGGGCTTATAATACTAAAAATCGGGATTTGATAATCCACTGTATAGTTGTATAAACAACACTCTCAATATGTTTGCTTTCAACTCTAATTATTACAAATATAGTTGATTGTATAAAAATTCTTAAATAGTAGAGAGTAGTTTCAAGCTCAAAATACGAGGAATCAAATATAAATTGTTTACTTCTGGAAGGCTTTCACGTAATTAAACCTTTTTTTTAGGAAACTTGAGTTAACACAATTATAAAACTCAGCATTATGAACGAAACGTTCAGTTACATTAAGAACTATTGTAAGAGTAGGTTACTTTTTTTCAACCTTCAGAACAGAAACAAAGAGATATGTGTAGTTTATTTGTAAATGAAACGAATATTGGAAAAAAGAGTAGTATCCTGAACGATATAACACATATTAGTTATAATGACATAAAGTACAGTATCCCTAATGACATAACGTATAGTATCCATAATATCATATGTAGTATCCACTATGACATAATATAAAAACCGAACATAATAAACTAATTTTAACTTGTATTGTTTATATGAAAATACAATGAATACTGGTTGATATATATTATTGTAATTTAGTGACACTTAAGATTGATTGAAAATACCAACGAACAAGAAATTCTAATGAATAAAAGTTAGTGTATTTGTTTCGAATATTCGAACAAATTTACATTAGGGCTATCTGCGTTAGCCGTCCCTACTTTCGAAATGATAGGCTAGAAGGAAAACACCTGGTTAACAGCTTCGAATTGCAGTATCTTGGAATAATCTAACTGAAAAATTAAATTTGACCGTCACTTTTATAACGTACGCGCACACCCAAAGTGCAAAGCGCGTTTCTCCAGAAACAGGACGCAAACCATCAACTCTCGGATTCACAGTCTGACATGATAACCATTAGACCGGACACGGTCCTAATGAATTTAAAACAAGTATAGAAATTTGTCAGGTACTGAAAATGTTTGCAATTTAAGTGGCCAAATGATGTTCGATAATAATTCTTTCAAATAAAAAATAAATGAAAGATATAAATACATGGCCATAGAACCATAAACTTTATTCCTAGCTTTATCTCTGAAATGCTTTACGGTATCTTCTTATATTAGTTTTTGATAAAACCTGACCCAAAGCTCCAGCAAAATTTTGAACAGCAGTTTAGTTTTAAAGATGGTCGAGTTTAAGAAGAGAATGCATGCCGAAAGCATTAGAGTTTTTCAGTGAATTTTTGGACTTTTCAAACAAGGTTTGTTCACTTTTTATTGTGTTATAGACTGAGAACTGGTACTTTCAATAATCGACGAGTATCTAAAAGAGGAAAAACGCTTCAAAAACGCCACGTATCTCCAGTTACTTAGGAAACACCAGTATAGGAAGGAAAGTTCACAATTGCCTAGTGACAATCAATAATCTTAACAATTCTTCAAGAAATGTGTCTGATCTTTAGTCTTTTCATTTTTAAAGATGGCCTTACTCTGTCTTCATGCCAATAAAAAGAATGGCATACCTTTGCTTCTCATTCTTAAGATTTAGGCTACACTTTCTTTTCCTCATCTTTAAAGATGAGTCTACCATGTTTTCGTGTTATTCTTAAATATGAACCTACACGTTATTCTCTTTATTCTTAAAGATAAGTTTACTTTTTCTCTTCCTCGATCTTAAAGATGAACTTACCCTATCTTTTTGTCATTTTTAAAGATGAACCTACCATATCTTCCTGTCATTCTTAAAGATGAGCCTACCCTATCTTCCTGGCATTCTTATAGATGGGCCTACCCTATCTTTCTGTCATTCTTAAAGATGAGCCTACCCTATCTTCCTGGCATTCTTATAGATGAGCCTACCCTATCTTCCTGGCATTCTTATAGATGAGCCTACCCTATCTTCCTGGCATTCTTATAGATGGGCCTACCCTATCTTCCAGTCATTCTTAATGACGAACCTACCCTATCTTCCTTTCATTCTTAAAGACGAGCCCACCCTATCTTTCTGTTATTCTTAAAGACGAGCCTACCCTATATTTCTGCTGGTCATTCTTAAAGCTTAAGCCTTTATTCTCCAAGCAAAAGTTCATGAAGAAGAACAACGTTAATAATACGAATATGGGCTACAATAAAGGCTTCGAGAGCATGTTTTCCTTCAGTTAGGAAAAAAAAGGAAAAACTTCTTTACTTTTCACTTCCAACTTTTTTTTATTTATTTTGCATCAACTTCCATATGATCATGTTGTCTAACCCTGAGAAAGACTTAGATGTTACATATTTGAAATCAATTTAGAACGATATGCTCTTTGACTATACTTATTTGTCTAAGAAAGGTATATATATATATATATATATATATTTAGAGAGCTACATATTAAAATATTCATAAGAAACGCACTTAAGAAACAAAAAATAACAATAAACCTTCACTGTCCGAAAGCGCAACAGATCTCTGTTTAAATTGTAGTAATTTATGGAAATTACTGGTAATTTAATACAATAGCAGCTTCGTTTAAGCGCATGTTATTAGAACAGGAGACAATAATTACATTCAGTCACGTGTCAGGCTACAAGAATGGTTAATTGGACAAACAAATCGAAGAGAAAGTTAACAAAAGCCGCGAAAGTTAAGGTGACAAATTAACTGCCTCTGTCCAAGGAAACTCGAGTAGAGATGAGCGAGGGTCTATCGTGGATAGATAACAGTGACTGTTTCACACTGGTGGCAAGAAGAACGAACTCATCACTAGTTAATTAAAGCTCCCAGGCTTGATTGTTTTTGCCCGCTTTATGAAAGTACAGATAAATTGTAATATAGTTTGAAATTTAAACATATCACTTTGTTTATATGCAGGAGGATCACAGCTGCTTCTATCATTTTTTTTCAGTACCTTGAAACCTCCAATTACGTATTTAATTTTTGACAATTACGTTTCACTTAAACTTCATAATTCAATATATAATACATTCATGTTTAAAGATAGTGTATTGTCTGTAATGTGCGGTTAACATTTGGCTTTTACGTTTGATTGAAAAATGCATACTGTAATATATTTATGTGCAATGTATTGTTTGTTCAGCATAGAGACCGAAACGACGACATAAGAACAGAAATACGTAAGAGAGTTTCCCATCTTATGGTGTCCAGCACTACCTAAACCTGCACTAAGATCTAGTATGTTCTCGTGCGCTATGTAATACATTCACGTCAATTATGATTTATATTCGCGTACATTATGTAGTATGTTCACTTGCGCTATTCTATGACTTAAAATGTCGTTAACAGAGAGGATACCCAATAGATGAAACAATATCATAGATAACGACGCACGAAAAGTAAATTTAAATAGCTATGCTCATGGAAAGGTTGATTTTTAGTTTCGCTTTAAGTAGGCATATTGTTATAACTGGGATTTAATATTAATTAAATATTCAAGTACATTATGTACTGCCTTAATGTGTCTTATGAGGTGTATTCACGTTCATGTCGTTTGCCCCCCAGTGGCACAGCGGTATGTCTGCGGACTTACAACACTAGAAACCGGGTTTTGATAACCGTGGTGGGCAGAGCTTTGTGTAGCTTTGTGCTTAACTACAACCAAACAAATCATGATGTTTTAAATTCACATTTTTTGTATAGTGTATTCCTTGATATGACTACTAGGTTCTTATATTACTCGTTTTAAAAGTGTGTATATCCGTACACGTCTGGTTTAGATATAAGACATTAGAAACCATTTGAAATCTTAATTACTCACTCCTTGCTTCTCTCTCTCTCTCTATAGAGTTAACTTTTTTTAGCACAGAGACTTCTCGATTAACGACTTTGAGGAGCAACCGTGTTGTTGTATTTCAATTATTACAGCCTGGGGTATCTTGGAGACAACACACAACGAATAAAAAAGTGTATTTTTAGTTCGTTAATACTCCAAACCCAGCGATAGACATTGATATTAAGTACTGTCAAACTAAAGAAGACATCACCTTTAGGACTTCAAGCCAAAACATATTGTACTGTCTTAAAGACCACAAGCCAGA